GACCAAAAAAAGGATGTAGTCTGCCAGGGATGGGGATTTAGCTCAGCAGCATAAATGCCTGCCTGCCAAGCACTAGGTTGTGAGTTCGATCCTTGGTATCAAAAAAAAAAAAAAAACCAAGATGTAGCCTGCCAATGAATGTGCACCCCAGCTCCCTACCACCTCTCTCTTTTAACATCCCTGAACTGGGTTAGGCCCCAGAGGTGATTTTTTTTCTGCTCTGTCCCTTTCCTCTGCTGGATATGTCTTCACTAACAAAGTATACAACAAAAACTGGTGACTAGAAGAGCTGAGACAGTGAGAAAGAACTTACTCTAATCCTATTTGCTCAGCTTCAAGCAAAAAAAAAAAAAAGGTGCTTGGGTAAGGCTGACCGTACTGCTGGCTACAAATGGCTCATGGTTTTCTGAAATAAACAGTCTCTTGATCAGAAAACAGCTCTGAGTACTGCTATCCACACATGAGGCTTCACAGGGTTCTCTAACATCTAACCTTCTGGTAATCATTTCTTTATTTCTATGTCACTGATTTGAAAAATTCTGGAAAGGAATGCTAGACCAGATTGTGAAACAAACAAACACGAAAAATGAATAGAAAAAAAAAAAGAAACAAAAACAAAATCAACATTGGTGGGGGGTTCTGGAAATCAAACTCAGGGCCTGTGCTGGCTAGGCAGCCACTTATGCCATTCAGCTATATCCCTGGCCTTGAACATTTAAAAACACATCTTTTACTATCTAAAAAATGGTGTTAAAAACTGAAACTTTGGCAGATGTAGTGTGTACTCCTGTAATCCCAGCACTTTCGAAGCTGAGCCAGGAGAACTGCCATGAGTTTGGGGTCTGTCTGGGCTACACAGTTGAGTTCAAGGCTGGCCAGAACTGCACAGCAAGACCCTATCTCAAACTAAACCAAACCAAACCAAACCAAACCAAACCAAACCAAACCAAACCAAACCAAAACCAAAAAACTGAACCTTTAAAAATTAAGTCATAATACTTATATCTATGCCTAGCTATTGTTTTTCAAAGTTTCTGGCTGACATGCAACTATGAGGATTATTCTTCCATTAAAAAAAACTAGAAATGAAATACGAAGTTACTTAACAGTTATTAAATTACTTTACATACTGGGACTTAACCTCCAGCACCAAGGAACTTCTTGCTGATCTGTATTACAACCTCCTACACATTTGCAATCTCTTTTTTAAACCCAAACAAACTATTTAGAGTGAATCAGTGCAAAAGCTTCTTAGATTTATTTTCCTCATGATGCTGTAACATATCCTACAACCAATGGCAATATTTTTTCAGCTCAATTTTGATTTTTACCACTCTCTTACTCTACCAAACACACCAAATTCAAACTCCAATTTGTTAGGAGTTGTGTATATTGTTCTGTCAGCATCACTGAGTATTTCTAGCTCCCAGTCTTGGTTCACACACATTATTGCAACCACTGAGAGTACTTCTTTGGAGTACTGCACTGCTTTGGAGTCTGTTCCTTAGCCTTTTTAAGCTTTCCTCTACCTTTGCATGTCTTTAGAAGCCTTCACCATGAATGTGGGATTTAAACTTCACTTCCAAGGGTTGGTCCTACTAGTGAGGATCTAGCTCCTAGGACCCCACTTGAGCCAGAAGCCTCTCCAAATACACAAAGTTTTAGTTTCACTGACTAGGGAACTGTGCATAATTTCTCTATTCAGTATCTGTTCACATTTCCAAGTAACAATTCTCACAGCAAGTTTAGGTTTTGAAGTCTGTCTCCTAAAGCCCCAGATGGGATTTGCCATCCTTCTCTACTTCAGACTGGGGCCTAGTACCCTACTTTGCTAAATCTCTCACCCAGTCCAGATAATCTGGCATCTCTGGCATTGTTAGTCCGTGGTATTGGCCTTAGGACCACGCTCAAGTGAAATTTAGTTCTTTCTCCACGTTAGGGAAGTAGACAGAGGGGCCAGGAAGTGGAGAGACCATGACAAAATACTTTTTAGGACAATCGAAGAATGTGTAAATTACCCAAAACTTTCAGAACATCCTTATTTGATAAACACTTAATGAACAACTACTATGTGTCATTTATCACCTACCTACTCAAAACACACTAAGACTATGACTATAAAATTATAAAGCATTCTAAAGTGTTTATTAGCCAGAATATTTTTAGATAACAAAACCTTAGAAAAATTTCAGCATCCATTAGAATCCATGTTGTTTACATTTACTAGAACTCATCAGGTGTATGTTTTTTTTTATTTAACTTAATAGAAACTAGGAATAAGGAAATAAAAAGACTTTTTTGAGGAAAATAATATATTCAGTTGTTTAACAAGAACAAATAAAAATTGACTTTCTTATTGTTGAACTCTCCATTCAAAGACAGTATTTCATAAACATTTTGCTCTACTTTATAACATTTTAAAATTAAAATGCAAAACTAAATAATTTTCTTCAGCCAAGATCATCTCTCACTTAATTTTTTAAGAGTAAATCTTGTAGTTATTTTAATGATACCATCATGAGAAACCCCTCAAAAAATTCATTTTAAATTAATGTCAGAAATCCAAAATTTCCTTGTCACCTATTTCAATGTGAACAGCACAATCCAAAACAAACACTAGGTCAAGATAAGCTTTGTTGACATTTTTGTGTGTTTGCTTTTATAATAGTTGGGATTTGGTCCTCGAGGTCGAACTCAAAGCCTTGCGTGTGCTATGCATGAGCTTTACCACTGAGTTATATTCCCAGGCTGCAAGATCAAAGTTCTGACTCAAGAAACATATGAATACTGACATATTTAAGTTGATTTGAACTGTGTGCACTGTAATATATGAAATTAAAAAGCTATAGTAATTTATTTTTAAGCAGGGTAATTTTTAATCACAGGAAAAATTTTTCCATGGAACCTTAGTATGTAAAATACATTATATGAAAGAAATTCCAGCAAGACTTAAGAGTTCCTGCCCTCATTCATTTTCCTATCCTTGCTAGGTCCCACTTACTGCCAACAGTGCTAAACTTACTGCACAACAACCACAGCCCTGGAGCAGTCAGGAAGGTGACAACTCTGGTCTTATTCTAAAACTACTCGATGTAAAAGATTTAGAGAGTTACGCTGGGACTACATTTTTACTCATTTTTTTGAAAGACATTTAATTTGAAGCACATTAAGCTTATTTAAAAATACATATTCAATTCTGTATAATGCAAAATTCCTGAGGTCCTTACACACACTTTAATTTAAAAACAGTCATGGGCACTAGCTTAAGACCCAATTCTTGCATACTACAGGAAAATGCTCAGAGTCATTTGTGTGACACATGAACAATAGGTCATGGCTGTTTAGTTGAAGGCCTTGCACTACACACAACGAAAATCCAATGATTAAAAGAAAAAGGTTGCTACACTAGCTTGCTTGGAGGATTCAGATGTCTGATTAACATTAGGCTTCTGTGCTAGTGGGGTTACCACTAAGAAGTCAAGTACTAGAAAAAGAAAAAGTTCTTTACTTGGGATAGCAGAACTAATTTCTAACCCTGGAAGGTGCTTTGAGGAAGATGTAGGGGGTACAAAATTGTAATTCAGTCTTGTATAATTAATAGAAACATCATGTAAGACATGTATGTAATTTTAAATTTTCTGGCAGCCACATTAGAATAAATAAAAATAAGTAAGTTTTAATGACACTTTATTAAATTCAACACCCTTAAAATATCATTACATCATGAAAGACTGGGGATTTAGCTCAGTGGCATAAGTGCCTGCCTGGCAAGTGCAAGGTCGTAAGTTTGATCCCTGGTATCAAAATTATATATATAATTTTATATATATATATATAATATATTATATATGTAATTACATCATGAAGTCAATGTAAAATTATTAATGATAAATCTTTTACTAAAACTTTAAAATTTGGTATGTATTTTTCCCTTATACCATATCTCAACTCAGACTGGCTGCACTTCAATAACCATTGCTGGCTTGAAAAACTGAGTCATTTCACAGAGGAAAAATATAATACAGATGACAGCCTCAGAGGGGAAAAATATCTGAAATGAGGAACTCAGAACAATTTTTTTTAAATTCTGAGTGGTTTTATACTATGAAGAGACTGAAACACACATACATGCACAAACATACACATACATGCACAAGGTTCAAAATAGTTTAGGGTAGTATGTGATACAAGATGTAATCGAAAAAGTTTTAAAAAATGCTCAAAGTACTAGCGTAATGAAAAAAATAGGAATGTTATCAAAGATAGCAAAAGTATTTTCTTTCAAAAATACATTAAAAAGTAAGGTCTTTGTTTACTGGTACAAGATGGTAGATTAGTACAATAATTTCCTGATTGTTTTCTTGGTTCTCTTTTCTCTCTCTTACTATTAAAGATGATTTTCTGATAGTGACTCTTTTTGAAACTCTAGCATGAAATCTTATGGACCAACAAGATATCAACAGCCTCAAAATTACATTTCAATAGGCAATCATGTTTTCTTCATCCAGTTCCTGAAGATACTATGAAACATTTCTTCTTTTTAAAAAGTTTGAAATAAATTAACCAATAAAAAATAAAAATAAACTCAATGATCTTGGTTAGTGATTATTTTCATTTTTATTCTTTTATGTTCTTTGTGCTTTTAAAATTAGCTTTGTTAAATTTCATATATTGCTATCACTTCAATAGAAGAAGAAAATAGGACTAGAGAAAAAAGGAGATTAGAAACAGCATTTGTGGGAAATAAAACTTTGGTGAAAAAGTAGGATGCAACTATAGTATATTTTACATAACCGAAGTTGTATCTATATTTATAGTGAAATATCAGTCAATGGATTTTACATATTCAACATAGCATATATATTTCTTCATAGAGAAACCACATCATATCAATGTTACCTTTTCCAATTAGTTTCTAGCCCGGGGAGGTTGGTAAAACTGCTGGGTTGGCCGAGTGGACCGTCTTGGCTGCCCATCACCACCTCTACGAAACTCAAGAGTTTGGTCATAGGTGCCTTCTTCTTCCTATTGCAAAGAGTAACAATTCAACATGTTCAAAATAGCTCCAAGTTTCTTAAATACACTTTATAGCCTTTATTATAACAATCCTTCTTAAACTGCCCTGGCATTCACATCTGTCAATGTTTGACAGCTCAGGCTGGCCAGGGAAGGGGAAAAAGGAGACAGGCAAGCTGTTAAAATTCTGTAGGTCCTTGGTAATAGAAGGTAATTTATAGTTATAAAATGAGAATCACATTTAATTATAGAAAGGAAAATAATTTCCAAATAATAGCATGAGTGTCTCATAAAATAACTTGATACAGTATGTTGAAAACAAAATAAACAAAATATTATAACAGTTTCCTTCCATATTTGGGTTTCTAAATATTCTTAGATATTTATCATGGAAAGGAGTTTTGCTAAGTCATGGAAAAAGGGGTTGAAAAGCCAGCCAGAGAATGTTCACCAATTGTCTGTCCTCATCTGATGGACTCTCCAACACTTTTAAGAACTTTATATCTAGAGACAGAGAAAAATAATCAATTGGAATGGGGGGAAGTATACAATTTACATATACAGAAAGCTTCATGCACAACAGAGATCACTATAGTAAAACTCAAACTACTTGAGTCTTATTTTCTTTCATATGGTATGGATCTACCAGCTTAAGGAATAGCATGAGGAAATTAGGATAAGCAGATTAAAGAGCAGAGTGCAGTTAATTACAATATTTAAAAAGGACTTAAAAAGCAACAAAATGCAGCCAAAAGACACAGTGGTTTCTTACTGAGTGCTGCCACCCTATTATTTTAATGCTTTTGAAATAATTCAGCTATAAAATATGTGCCCTATGAGATGGAAGAAATTGGCTGAGTTTTGTTAATGAAAGATTACATCTGTTTCACTAAGTAGAAATATTGACATCCAACTAAATTATCAGATCACAATAATTTGCCTGATTTTGCAAACTTGTTCTCTTTATCTCCCTTACTTTATCTTTGCGCCCTATCTCCTAAAGATCGCTTTCCTTTGACCTATTAATAAAAGAAATTATATGAAAAACTAAGTTCTATTTATATTTTTACAGATCCAACTACTGTAATTTTACTTAATGGAAACAGAAAGCTGCTAAGATGATTTGAACAAATCATGCTACCAAGGATATTTACTATTTGGTAAAAACATAACTCATTATTAAGCATCCTTTACAATACTGGTAAAAACAAACTATTTTTACTTTATATATAAGATTCTGGAGTCCAGGAAAGCTTTGTGACTTTGCCCTAACACTTTTAAGACAAACTAGGGTTTTGAATTCAAACACAGCTGTTTAAATCTTTAAGTCTCAATCTCCATGCAAAAGCAATAAACTGCCAAAAAATAATGCTCTCCTTCCTGGAACTATCATTTCTAATGAGAGATTAGAGAAATCTGACAATAACACCTGATAAATTCAATATCCATCTTTTGGAAGCAAGCTTTCTCAACACCCAATTCATTAACAATCAAAAAGTAGTTAGAAGTATCAAGTATTACATTTATAATTTAGTAAAGCAAGTAAATGCAGAAGAAAAATTCAGAGTATTCATGAAAGGTGAGAGTTTATTATTATCACAATTCTGAATGATGATGAACATTGCTAATTTTGAAAAGAAGCTATTTGATTTATGTCATGTGACATTTAAAGCTTTGTATATTAACTTAATAGGATGAAAATATACAGTATTTGGCATTGTAGATGAGGAAGTAATTATTTCATCAATTAGAATGGAAGGGTTTTTTTTTTTCACACCCAGAACTGGTTGATAAAACATCTACAAGTCTCTACTTTTCAGATAAAAGACACTGTTAGAAAAAGGACACTGAATTTGCTGAGTGAGCTGAATTTATATAATAAAAATGACACTGCTATTTGAAAAGCTGTCTCTTCTGTGTTTAAAAGATTTAGACTGTACTAACCAGAGCCAATTAGTTTTTCAGAAATGACCAAGAGATTTCACTCACATAACCTGACACCTTCCCAATCTTTTTATACAAAGTACAAGCCAATAAAATAAAAATGATTCTGACAGTTTGGTTTTTAATTATTGTCACAGGCAAAATTTTTGCTTCATTTAACTTTTAAATACTCCTACAGAGCAGCCAAGGGCAAATCTGGTTACCCACAACTGTTTCTTATAATCTATAGCCAGTAATTTTTAACACAAATGGATACGTCTTTCCACTTTATATAGCACACAGCTTAATTTAATAGATCAGTTCATTTGAGCTATCTTTGAATGAAATCTGATGGTTCTCTTCTAACATTTCTTCCTTTAGGTTTCACTATTCTGTACCAGGTTAAAAACTCAAAAAAAAAAAAAAAAAGTTCTCTAGCTTCATGAGCATATTTTCAAAATTCTGACACTACACTAGAGCTCATGCAATCTTGAAAGGTCATTTAGTTCACCATCTAGAATTTGATGGACCAATGAAAAAATCTGAGGAGATGAGGTGATTTTCCCAAGGCACAGAGCTTATTAGAGGAAGAATTGAGACTAAAGCCATTTTTTCTGACTTTTAAGCAAGGTTCCTCATACAGCTTATAACTTCCATAAAAGAGGACGTGTACAATGCCATCTTCATCTAACCATTTGAGATTTAAGAGCCTTTCATCTGAACTGAGATTTCTGCTCACTTCAGCCATGTTACCAGATAAAACCTGTTTATAAAACACTAAATATATTCAAGATGAACCGTCTGTTAACACCAATATTAACCAGTCTGTTTTTTTTTCAAAGATTAAAAAAAAATCGCTGTCAAGCAAAATGGACTGGTTACTTTAAAACAAAATAAAATGAAAGCCAATATAAAAATAAGGTATACCAGCACTGTCATTAAAACACATTAGACAAGTCAGAAATGCATCTTTCCCATATATTGTCTTTAGTTTTCCGTTAGTATACAGTGTATCTGGAATAAAAATGCAAACAACAAATTACTAGTTACAAATGAGCTGTACGAAAGCATATTATAAACAGGTTACAGACCTGCAATATATTTCAGTAAAAGGTAGAAAACACACAAGTAATCTTCAGGTTCTCTTTTCCACAAAGGTGAAGTGCAGCTAATTAAACACATAACTGCTCTATGGAAGGGGCTAGAGCAGTGGTTCTCAGTGACAGAGCACTATGCAGTGCCTCAAGAGAGTTTATACTGCACCTAGTAGGAGAGAACAGGGATGCTGCTAAATACCCTGCAATGCACAGGACAGCCCACAGCACAGCTATCCAGTCCTACTACCAACAGTGCTGACGCTAAGAAATTTGGGACTCAGCAAACAAAATCTCCTAAGAACAGGGTAGCCTGGAAAAGAATTCTACAATTTAGAAAGCTTAGATTTGTACCTTTCTTTCTGAATATTTCTTTCTGTTTTTGCCCAGGTTTAAATGCCTTCCTCTGAAGGTGGGAGCTATTTGTTGACAATACTTACAATGATTTCCTCTACATTAGCTACATGCTATCTATTTAATATATCTACTTATCTTAAATTACTATTCTTTCAGCATTTTTCCACAATCATAACTATAGGAGACAACAGCATGTAAGACCAGGAAGTGAGGGTTAATTAAAAAATTGTTAAGATGTAATTCCTGTCCTCTAATAGTTATTTTTGCACATACTCAAATTTTTTCTAGTTTGTGCTTTTTAATGAATTGTATGCTAGTCACAAAACATAAACCAGCATATGAAATTCAATGTACTCTCAACACTCATCCTTGAAATTTACAAAATTTTGAACAATAAAATGTTCATGAGTACAGAGATTCACATGAACCACTTAGTCTATGAATTTCTAGGCCACCATTCACCTGCCACATTAGCTTGTGTTTATGGAAACAGAACACATTCATATAATATAAGCAAACTATCACATTATCATCTCTTTCCCCAAACATTATAGAATGGCCTCCCAAAGTAGAACTTAAAATACCTTTAAATCATGTTTTTATAAATTATATGATATTCTATTATATTAAATTAGCAGAAAAATGTCTAAGCTGAACCAGTTCTTATTTCTGTGAAAGGCATGGATAATCTGTGTGTCTATGAGAAACCGGAACTTCGTTCATCAGTTACCCTAGTTTAGAAATATGTTCTACTTCAATATTTAAAGTTTTACCATAAAATAAACCCAAGCCTGTGGTAGCCTGGAACTATAGATGACAAGACAAAATTTTTCTAAAGAACAATCCAACTAAGAAGTTATCTGCTCAAGTAATTAGTGCCGCAACATGAGCTAGAATATGTTTTGATTCACAATTCTGGCTGCTCTTTGCTGTGCTTCTGAGAGGTAAGGAACACAGACACCACTGAACTGAAGGCAATCTAATAAAGATTTATATTTTTTATTATTTTAAAATTTATTCTGGGAGTAATGTGGAACACTTCACTCAAATAAATTTTTGAAGTTTATTATGTAAGATAGACGGCTCACAGGCTAAAGCGGGTGTCTCCCTATGTGTGAGCAGCATTCCTTGGTTTTCTCCCCCTTCGTGCCACCAAGCTTTGTAATTCCCCAACATGCAAAGATTAAAAGCCCACTTCAACCTCTTTTCTACACACTGGGAGTCAACTGGATGGGGTACTTTTTTAGAAGAAAACATAATGGAGAATCAGGTGCCCTTCCTCCTAGAGCACCTCTAAGATACCTTTTTATGTACCATGCTGGCAATATTTTATTTAAGCAGAAAAGGAAAAAAACACACACAAGAAAACACAAAAGAAAAATCATATTCAAATATAATTATCAAAGAACTGCTCCAAAATGCATGGCTGATATAATGTAATGTTTTCATACTGCATTTCATAGAATTTCAGACATGATGCACTATTTCACCAAAGTTCTGATCATTTGAGAGACTTTATTTTCTAAATTATATTAAAATTAAAATGCTGTTGATTCTATAGGGTACTATGAAATCATCTGAATATCTAGCTCAGGGGTTTAATTCTATGCTGTCAGTCAAACAAGAATCTAACTAAGACAACTTCAACACAGAAGAATAAACAGGATTTTAAAATGGCAATCAAAGCAAATAACATCATTGTTCTTACTCTACCATCAGTAAAATCTTCTAACACTTGAAAAAAAATAAAGAAATGAATGTTTATTCTACTGTATGCCTACCTTTACATGTTATCTCACTCAGTCTTTGCAGTAATGCTTTGAATTACTTAGTATTATTTTCTGTAGTCCTGAGTTATAACCCTGATCCTAATTTTGCCATTTTACAGATGTAGACACTGAGGTTCAGCGTAGTTCACTCAAAAATTTTAAGTGACCATTCTTTAATTAGACTCCTATAACCGTTTTTAAAATCACATCACATTTAAATTTGTTTTCCTTATTATTTTCCTAATAGCTTAATTTTTCCAAGTTTTTTACTTTCAATTTTTTTGCCTTTACTGAAGTAGAATTGACTAATGCAAGTTGTATATATCTAGCTTGAAGTTTTGATGTGTGTACTTTTCTCAAT